GGGGTTAATTTTCATTTTAATCCAGATAACTTCAGCCATGTTTGCGAAGCAGAGACCATCCACCAGTTCCCTCTTAGGCCCCTCCACGGACCAGAAACAGAAGTGATCACTCAGATTTCCCTTCTTCCCTTCTCCTGGGCAGGAGAGGAAAAACCTCACTCTCCAGAGACTGTTTTCAGCACTGGTAAGAACAGCTAGCTGCAAGGAGGAGGCTTCCCCAGCCACACAGGTGAGCCAGGCTTGTCTCTCCGTAGCTCCACTGGGTTGTGATTCTGGCCAACCCTGCAGACCTTTCCTCTTTCTGTCAGTGCTGCCATGTCCTTCCTCTTTGTGCCCAGACACTAAGTGACCTCTCCACAGCACTCCCAGCCTGTGAGGTTTAAGTCAGGAACCCAATGTGCCATGCCCCTGGTGCAGAAGAGAGACCTACGCTGGCCACAGGTCTCCTGCATCCACAGATTCTGCCAGGACAGAGGCCAGGCTCAGAATTTCACTCCTGTCATTAGCCAACCCCGTTCCAAGCTCTCTTACCTCCTGCCTCCATGGTCCCCAGCTTCAGTGATACCCATTGGTGAAAGCTGTTGCAATCAAGGGACCCTGCAAAGAAAAAGTTAAACCCACCACTCTTAAGTAAACAAAAATGAGAATAACTACTATCACAACAGTCACAGCCCAGATGCTGGAAAAGCCAGCTTCACTTGGAGGTGCCAGACCTAAAGTGTACGTCACCCTACAGCACACTACATCAGGGCCAAGGTGAGCTCTTGGAAAGTCTATGCCAGATCAGGGAAAGGTCTAGAGACCAGGACCTTGACTAGTCAGGGAGAGCCTGCAGGAGCCAGGCAGCAGGCTGCAAGCAAACTGCTGCATTCCGCACCATCCCTCTGGGGCTCAGTGGTGGCACAGCAGATGCTGCGGCGGGTGGCGTTTCTGGACCAGAAAGCAGGCTGTGGGCTGAGAGGGGGCTGCCCACCACTGCTCACCCCCATCCTCACGTAGAGATGTAGTCCTGTGCCCTGGCCGTGCCACTCTCCGTCTTCCTCCCCCCGCAAAGAGCAGGACAAGGGAACACTCACCCCTAGGCTGTGGCCGAAGCCGGTGCTCGGGGCTGGACTGGCAGCGCTGATGTAACTGCTGACCCCTGAGTCCTGGTTGGCAGCTCCATAAAGCTCGGCCATTGGCCCGGGGCTGGTGGTGCCCAGAAACCCACCGGTGCGACTGGGGGTGGAACCTACACGAGGCAGCAAAACTACATAGTGAAGATCCCAAAAGTGCAACCCCGTCCCACC